TTTAAGCATTTAGTTAACAACCAAACGTTGCAAAATCATAATAATATTATAATATATATAATATTAATCTGACTCTGAGGTATCAGGTCTTGGTTTCACAACAGCTTCAAAAACCCTGCAAATATTAAATTCCTTGATAAAATGTAAGGTTATTAATCTGTTTTACATCCGGAACATGAGACCACGCGAGGCTTCAAAGCCCGTCAGTTTGATATGCCGAAATAGATAGCATACGGAATGCTGAGAGATTTGTGCACAATGAAATACTACAATGTTTTTCATCAGATAAGGCGATGTTTATTCAATTGGACACACTTTATTGCAACGAGAATGTGTTCTGGACATTTGTTTATAGTTTTACACATCAACAGTAGAGAAAGCATATGAGAAAATTGTAGGACTAGGTTTATTCACAGGAATAAGCCGGCTTTAAATGCTGATTGAGTACTGAAAATTGTGTGGAAAGCCAGATGTCGTTGTAAGAAAAGCAAAGGTACTTCTTCGTCTTCTTAGAAAAACCATTCAGCCGAATTCTCAATTACTTACAATTATCTGCTAAAAAAGTCTACTCCATCGTTTTCTGTTTGCGGCGTATTTCAAAAAACCTTAAACGTGTGTTCGCTGCAGGACAACTAAGCTCTCTCCCTCACGCTTTTATTTGTTTAAACCTCTTCACGACGGTACTTAGCATATACACTCCAATGACGCTGGTCCTGTTTTTACTACAAGGGTAGAGACAAAAGTACCAATTTTTCCTAGTGACCGAGAAGAAGATGATATGATCGCTGGGACAACACATTTATTCGCCTAACGTTTCGACCTCCGTCGCGGATTCTTCATCAGAGACATCACCGGAAACTAACGGCAATTGCGGTTCATTCGACGAGACCTGGTCACATATCCAACTTTGATGAAGCCGAAATTCTCGCAAGAGGTGGCACTCGTGTGAGCTGAGCATTACTTGAGTCGTGGTTCACAGGCCCTAAGCTTATAAGCAAGTGCAATGACCTAACCAATCCATATTTGATGGTGAGGCTCAATTTGACCAATGCGAGTCGCAACTTGGGGAACGCAGAGGCCACCGCGTCGTCTTACGCCAAAATCAGAGGGCCAGATGGCTGAGCAATTATCACGCCCAATTCCACCACGCTTCTGGTAAGTTCAGCAGGTCACAGCCCGCATGCCGGTCAGCAAACAATTAACACACGGAAAGGGTAATTATCGTTAATTGGCGTTGTCATAAGTGTGCAGCACTGAATGCTGCAACTTCCTTTGCATCTATTACTCGTTTCTGCTAATGTCTGGGATGAGGAATCGACGATGGATGTCGTAAAATCGTTCCAGCAATCGCATCCTCTTCTTCTCAATTACTTCCAACGACTCTATTTTCGATACAGTTACCCTTAAGTCATCGCATGAGACCGATTTTGCTATAAATGCGTGAACAATTGGTAATAGCATTATTAACTAAAGTTAAAAGAGACTTACATCAAAGGCAGTTACATACATAGGAGCCTGTTTGGCAAAAGTCAACGTATTTTAGTGGATTTTAGCACACAAATATGAACGCAATTCAGGATATACATTTTACCATTAACACGCCTACCAAAAGTATGTGCCATCTTTTAGGCAACAACTAAAAATGTTTTTTTTGTTCAAAAAGAAAAGGTAAGAAGGGAAGGTAGATTTAATATGTCGCAGAACAATCCACAAATATTTTGGTGACCTCAGAATGTCGACTTTTAAACGAACCTTTAAAAATGCATGCCTAAAGAATGTGCAAGATATCCGATGTCCTTATACATTTTAGCCAATACAACATACCTCAAATTTGTTCCTTTATGCTATATCACGTTAGAAGCTTATTTGGCTTAGAAATAAACAGGGAATTAGAAAATTTTATTTGACCAACATGTTTTTTCTCACATCACTGGGTTTTCCTACCATTAATCCCATGCGAAGGTCTCCGTTATCTGCATACAATCAGCGATCGCATCAGCCGAACCTGGCGGCCTAAACGCTCGCCCTTGCTTCGACCCGCCGCAGACTGTCGACGATCTGAGCAGACATTTCTGGTTTTACAACCTGTCGGTGGATTGTGCAACCAACAAGGAAGGGTCAAGCTACATCTTCCGCACTTGGTGATGATCCCGGTGACCTCTGCAACCCCCACCCCCAAGACCGGACGTGTTTTCTCCCATCAGATTCTCTCCCCCGCAAGAGCGACAGTTGTTCTCCTTAAAAATCCCTGAGCAGTTTTTTTCACTGTCTGCTCAAAAACACTATGTACCACCTCATGGTTCAGGAGGATTGGCCTCGCCAAGAAACTGAGATAGCATTTTTGCTACCACGACACACATGTACAAATAGGGAACTCAAAGGTGACCTTCCTATACAGCCCTTAAATAAACTGATACTGGTATGTTTTCAGCAATCAATCATCAGACCATTACAGTTGCAGTGATAATGAAAATCGTACAGCTTGACAGGGGTTGATAAGTTTCCTTTGACTACAACTCATCGTTCTCACACTGCCGGCCTGGCGAGACCGGCGTGTAGAGGTCCTTGCGCTGAGGGCGGGGGGAGGGAGCGGAGGGGAGGAAGTTAGGATAGGTTATGAGCGTTGGTTATGGGTCAGGTACGTGGAGTAATAATTACTGTCATTTGTACGGAGTGAACGACTGTCACTAGGGCGTGG